CCATGGGCGACCGTCCTGGGAATCGATGGGGAGGTCGGAGCCTCGCTCTGGAGGAGCAGCAGCTGGCAAGAAGGAGAGGAGTTGGTTCAAAGGGAGCAGGGAGGAGGGAGTGAGAATCTTTGCTCCGTACCCCAGTTTTGGTCTTGGGGCATTTTGCAAGGGAAGAAGTGGGACCCGGTTTCTTTAAAGGTGCAATGTGGCTTTAAGATGCCTGATGCCAAGGGGACAGCGCTGGAGGCAAAGAGGGGATAGATCTTAGGAGATCCTCAGCGTTCAGTGACGTGCGCGTTTTGTACCTGTGCGATTTGCAAATCTGCATGGTTGCTGCTGCTTCTTGGCAAGCAGGAAAGCTGTTCTTGACATAGCTAGAGCTATCCTTTATTGGCCCTGCACCTTACAGTGGCCACTCGCACTTATGTCCACCTTTTCTCTGAAAGCACAAAGCAACATGCGCATTAGTCTCTTTCTTCACACGTTGTGAGGGCAGCGGCATCCGTGGGGAATGGGGGCCTGGGGTCATAGGAGGCAAGGTTGCAACGGAAGCCCCGCCCCTTCTGTGCATGCATCAACGCATTACAAAGGGGACAGGGCTTCAGAGGCTGCTGGATACAGGCAATAGCTAATGGGGAGAGCTCCATAATCCCCAGGCCCGTGAAAAAAAGACCCTAGCAGAGCATCTCCAGAAAGCTGCCCGAATCAGCGTGGCCACCTTGCTTCAGCTCACCTGCCTCAAAGCCCTTTTTGAAAGTGTCAGGGAAGCAGAGGAGCCTCATAACCCTTGGCTGGCTCATCGAAAGGTGGCTAATTGCTAGTTCCTGCAATTCCTGTGAAGTTCTCTATTGAGGGAAGGGGGCAATGGGTCCCAAGCGTGTCATGGGCTATGATTCGGAGGCTGCATTTCGTATTAGCATGGATTCAATTATTCTTATTCTATGAAGAAACATGCAGGATGAGTGCTGAGGCCAACTATGCACACTGGAATTTGGTGAAACAGTTTAATTTCAGCGACTGATATTCAGTGGAACTTGCTGTCTAGAGCTGGGTTTCTCAACCTTGGCAACTTTAAGACGTGTGGACTTCAACTCCCAGAATTCCCCAGCCAGCCTTG